CGTCCCTGAACCGCGCGCGTAATGACCCTCGATAACTAGATTAGATAGGCATGGAGCATGTGAACACTCTCTGATCTGCCTAACTCCTTTGCTTGGCACTGGAGATTCGTGAGCAACTGTGGAGGAGAATTTGTCCAGTACACTGTCTGGGCATATTTCTTGGGACCATTGTGTGGTGATCCGGGCCTACGAGATGACGCGTAACCTGGAGCGATGCGTTACAGTTTTTGGACAACTGCGATCAATCAAACTTCACGGGTGACGTCAACAAAGCACGTACGGGTCGTTGCTTCTGACTTCATACCATAGGCATATCGTGCTAGCCAATCAGAGACTGTGAGGCCCAGACAGGAGCAGAACGATGCAAGCAATACTGAAAAGCGATTGGTAGAAGCCCGGATAACCAATAAAACTACTTTGTACATATTATTTAATCCCCTTGTTTCCCATTCCTGTTACCTTTTCCTCGCTTCTCAGTTACGTGGGATATTACGTGCTAGTGCAACTGCGATCTCGTGCTTTCGTGATTCAGTCCCTGACAGTTGATCCTTGATTCGTATTCCGTGATCCGTATTGCATGGTTCTTATTCCGATTTCAGTGCACATTACTACTATTTTTACTACAATCACTGAACATTCACAGAATCAATCGGAATCAGCGCGCTAATCAGAGATACGATCAGTTCAACAGAACAATACAAAGAGAGATGTGTGTAACAGGGGCCAAGGTGCAATTGCACAGTCGGAATCAAAAATCCACTGTTATGATGTAATTCCAGGTCAGCGATCGTCGGATAACCACAGGAATGAAATGATATCCTCATCAGTGGCCACTGATTGCTACCTTTCCAGGTAGGCTAAACTAAAGGCGTGGAACATTGTCTACTTATCTGCGTTCAGAATCACACGGAAACAAAGTCCCGTCTGATTCGGTTGCGGTGCTCCTTGAAGCTGTTCTACACCTACCACTTGACAATCTAACAACCCATAATTTTTTTCAAAGACAACGAGCAACTGAATCGATTCGGCACGAGTGACATTTTCGGTCTCAGTCTCACTCCCGGTCTGTGTCCGGATCAGTTGAAAGGACGACTGAACACGTCCTAACTTGTTCTCCGGCCCGTTCACCCACGCAGGCACGGACACACGTGCGAGGAATCGACCACACACACACACACACACACACACACACACACACACACA